GATAGATGATAATATTAGCCATTTGAAGTAAATGATTAAGATACATGATAATACTCAGCCATTCGAAATAAATGATTAAGATTAGATAGATGACAATATTAGCCATTTGAAGTAAATGATTAAGATACATGATAATATCAGCCATTCGAAATAAATGATTAAGATTAGATAGATGACAATATTAGCCATTTGAAGTAAATGGTGAAGGTTAGATAGATGATAATATTAGTCATTTGAAACATTCATTTGCATTTTTGGCTAATCAATAGAAAATGATAAGTGATATTCGACAAAATTTTTCTCTTTTTTTATTTCACTTTCCAAATAATAATTTGCTGAATTAACAATTATTTTTTTACAATATTATCATGAGAATTGCTTTTTAAAACAGAAAAAAAAGGAAAAAAATTTTGATGTTTTGAAATGATTAGAAAAGATTTTCCAATAGGATTAATTGACATTAAATTTCAATCCATAAATGATAGCATATGATAATAATTAATGTAATAGCACTTATTGTTGTATATTAAAATTTTCAAAATCTCTTAACCTTTCACCTCTCTCACAAATGATTCAACCTATTTAGTTCAAATATGCTTCTGCAATTCAAAAAAAAAAAAAAGAACAATTTATCTTTGCAAATATAATATCTTCAAACATGCTGTAATTAATGAATTTGTAATTTCCAATTAAATTCCCTTAATATTTCTGATCCTTACTTCTTATTTCATTTATTAATTCCTGTTTTTTAGTCTTTTCCTCCTATTTGTATATATTATTTTTCTACCAATTGTATTATTGTTGAATTATTCCATACATTATGCCCATTTTGCAATGCATCATTAATGCTTCTTAAAAATAATCAATGATGTTAATTAATTCAATTTACTGTATTTCGTTTTCTAATTCATAAAATGCTTAGTAATTCTAGTAAATTATTTGAGTTACATAGTTTAAATTATATGTTCCAATTTCAAGTTCAAATATGTCTTTCGTAGTTTGCATGATTATTTAAGAATCAAAAATTGTAATTATAATTACTGTAAGAAATTTAATAATATCACTATAAGCGAAGAAAATGTATCGAATATTATTTTAAATACGTCTTATAAAAAAAAAAATAAGACTTTTAAATATTCCTTAATTAAAATTAGCCAAAAGATAGCTAGGAAATAATATTTTTCCTTCGTACTTATCTACAAAAAATAACAAAAAGGTAATAATAATATAAGCATTTTATTTATGATTTTAATTAACAAACTTTAATTGCGTCTCGAAGGATTTGTTGTGTTTGTTCATCTGCTCGCATCATAGCATCTCGTAATGAGAATAATACCTCAAAATATGAATTATTTAAATGAATAAAATGAAACAAAAAAAGAAAATTGACACTTTTTGTTCAATTTCTTTAAAAATTTTTAATCGAAAAAAATAAAAACCATAATTGAAAAATTAATTAACTTAATTAGGTTGCTTTTTTTTGAATCTGCAAAATGATAAATCTATTTTTTGACGCAGTTTAAGTGATCAAATTTTGAATTAAAATATGTTTTCTCTAATAATTGCTTAAATTAAGGTATAAAAATATTTTAAAGGTAAATATCGGATTAATCACAGTTAATCAATAAAATATTCGGGTAAATTGGATGTAATGGAATAAACCTTAATTAATTAATAATCAAGTCCATAAAACACTTTAGTTTAATATAATTGTTGCAAAACATAACAAATCTTGAATAATTTGATTGCTATTCTTAATTTCCAATTATAATTATTTTAATGAAGCATAAATTTTTTAAAAAGATAAATGCCGAAAAACTTTTTGCTACTATAGTTATCGGCAATTTTTGTTCTAAATTTTGCTTTCTTTAATTCATATAACAATAGTAATAATTTATTTTCTTCAATCGTTATTAAAAAAATTAAACTTCGAAAATGTTTTTTAGGCTGAGTAATAAAATAGCCGGGTCAAAGGTTGAATAAAAACTTGACAAAAATATAAAAAAAAAAATTAACATAATAAAAAATTAATATAAAATATATCTGTAATATGAAATAAGAGAAGTGATACATTATCTATGATAGTGTTAACTTTTAGTGAATAATTTACCTAATTTATTTAGGTGTCTAATTACCTAATTTACTTTTTAAAGTTGTTTAATTCACTTAAATTCTAGAAAAATTATGTTAATTAAACAAATTACGCCTTAATACTACTACCGTTACTACTATTACTGTTACTACTACTGTTACAATATTATTAATATTAGATTGAATAAAGATTTCATAGTGATCAAATTTTGAATTAAAATATGTCGCCTCTAATATCGATTAGATTTTATATTATTATATTTTTTTTTTTGATATTATTTTCTTTTTTATATTATTTTATTAGATTTTATATTATTTATCACATTTATAAGTATTTTAAAATATATTTATAATATGAAATAAACGTAAAATTTGCAGGAAAAAAAAGAAAGAAATGAAACATTACCTATTAATTAAATTATAATGCAATAAGATGGGTGAAAAAAAAATATAAAGAAAAAAGAAAGAAGAAAAAAAAAGGGGAATAATTAATACCTTTATAGGTAGAAATTTACCTCATTGATAGGTGCATCGACAAGTGCTGTTTGTGATCGTTCACTTCGTAATGATGTATTAGTATGGAATGTTGAATCACCATTATTTCGTTTTAAATAAACAAACTGTTGGCTGGAAGAAGAGAGATAAAAAAAACCGGAAAACCGGAAGGAAAAATAAGTTATAAAGGTTTTTTCTTTTTTTAGTTTATATATAGATAATAGAAATATTTTAAAAATTATCTATCCGGTCATTTAATCAATAATTATTGGTCATTTGATCATTTGAACAAATTGTATGATTATAGTGATTTTTATTATCACTATCTTTTACTGAAAAATTTATCATACAAAGAATTATGCGAAGTATTGATATATACATGTAGTGAATTTTAATTACAAATATTATTTGTATTTTAACTATTTAAAAATAAAAATTATTTCTGAAATAAATTTATAAATAATATACAAGTAGTGGTACAGAAAAGTTTTTTCGTTTTTTTTTTCTGCTACTAAAAAGATTAAGATAACGTACTAATTTAATGCTATATTTAATTGCTAACTAATTAATTAAACTTGAGCTAATAATACTATTAATATTTGCACGAAATAAAAATTAACTTCGTGCTCTTTTTATTAATTTTGAAGTTTTTACCTGGTAGAACTTCCAGGTACTTGTATACATTGCCATTCATAACTTCCTTGTCGTATTGCTTCACCTTCTGCTGTTGTTAGTGTAATAAGATCTTTCGATCTTATTGGATTTTTTTGTTGCAATGATTTTCGTCGAATATCGGATGATTTTGTGCCAAGTATTTCATTCCTTAAAAACAAAAAAAAAAGAAAAAAAAGAGAAAATTATAAAAGGTCACGTAATCACGTTGTGTCACGTTGAGTTAAACAATTAGCAATATACTTTATTACATTCAAAACGGCATTATTTACCCAGCAAAATAAAATATATTCTAAGGAAAAAATATGAATTAACGATACTAGGATACCGTAACTTTGTCATATTCCGAGCTAATTATAATGTACTATAACAATTTCATCATTTATAATATACCGTAACTTTGCAATGTTCCGAGCTTATCGTAATATGCTATAACAATTTCGTCACTTGTGATATACCATAACTTGTAATGTACTATAACAATTTCATCACTTGTAATATATTGCAACACGCAATGTATTTACAATATATTGTAATAAGCTTAGCTATTTGCAATGTACGGTAGCAAATTTCTTCATTTGTAGTTTTGTAATTTTGTAATTTTGAAACAAATTTCGCCACTACAAGTATAGTACTGCACAATTTTTTCAGTTGGAATAATGCGCCATAACATCAAGTAAACCTTGATGGTACGGTAATGTGATATTAGCATATTATAGGGAAAGAATTTACCGCTTGAAACCAGTATTTGTTTCATAAGCTCGATTTATGTATTGCACATTTAAAGCACTATCGCATATTTCAATCGGTTGACATACCTATAAAACTATTTTGTACTTAATTTAAAGGCATGGAATTGGACGCAACTACAAGTTAATTATCGTAATTTGATAAGTGATAGTTTAATTATCTTGAAATTATCAGTACGATTATCCATTTGTTATTTTATTTATATTTTTGAAGCGATTATTTGCAATAATATATGTGACAAAATAAAAGAAAGCTTTTAAATAATTAGCATAAAAGATGATGGTACCTCATCCAGGACAGCAAATAGAGCAGGAGTAGCCCGTAAACGATTTATGAGACGTGCGAATAATTCACAAAGGGAGATATCTGTTGAAGTTGACACAAAAACCTGAAAATTATCCTAAATAAATTTACTAATATGCATAATTTTACATTCATTCATAAATTTAGTATTATTATAAATTTTTTACTGTAATTTTACATAAAAATTAGTATTAATAACTGTGACAAATATTGGATATATACATATATATATATATATATATATATATATATATATATATATATATATATA